TAGTATATTTCACGAAATGCTATTAACCCCACCAGGTAGTCCCGAAATTTCTCGGGAATTTACCACCGCATGAACATCCTGAATACAACACAGTGTAACGAATAAGACTTGTTTTCAGTGATTCGTCTTCACTGGCTCATACATAACAATTTGTATAAATCGGATAGAAAACGGCAGGTTTGGGATAGTATGTACAAAAAAATCAATTATTTAACAAACTTGAACGAATTAAGTTTTGCGCATACAAAGTACAACTCAAGCTCAACGATCCTATTTGTCAGATGAACAAAGTGGTGATGGGCTTCCCACTGGGCTCGTCGTTTACGGAAGTCTTTAGGGCAAACAACGCCCTCCAAGCAAACCTGACAAAAGACACGTCGAAGATAGTGTTTTTTGGACGTGTAGTAATCATAATGAGCTAGTGGCAACATTCAACTGCGCGTATCCAAACACCAAGTTTACTCTCAACGAGGAAACTGACGACCAGATCGCATTTCTTGATGTTTGCCCCAAACGCCATGAAGAGGGGTCTATTCAAAGCTCGGTGTATGAAAGAAGCATGAGGTCGTGATGGTACATTCATTTTCAAAGTTTGGTAGCATGTAAAAGAAAGCGAACGTTTAGTATCTCGCCAACAGAGCGCAGAAAATCTGCTCGGCTGATACAGTACAAAACGGATTAGATTTCCTGCGCCAGGTCTTTCAACCAAATGGATACCCGGATCGATTCGTGAGCAGCGTATTTTTAACTCTGCCTTCAACATTTCAATCTTTATACTGTTCTTTTATCCAAATCGGCAGTCAAAAGACAGCAACCAAAACCGATGCATGAAAATGCATGGTTAAAGGTTGTAACAATACAGGTTTGTGAACAACAATCTAAACGGATTAAACACCGCATCCTGACCGGAGCGAAATCGGTGAGAATTCACATTCACTATCCATCCTTGCGTGGACAAAAAGATGTGAAATCTGTCTTCTATGCCCCTCCACCTAGCCCGTTTTCGCTCGTCCATCCCAACCTTCGCCAAATCCGGACTAGATATACTGGAAACGGTAGACATTATCGATATTCGTTCAAGTTAATTGATTAATTTTTCGTACGTGCTATCCCCTAACATTCCACTTGTTATCCGAGTTATATAAATTGTGGCTCTGTGTGAGAGAGGTCCCAGTTAAATGGTGTGAATCGGTGGTCCTACCGATTTACAAGAAAAGCGACAGGTCCTCTTGTGAAAACCACGGAGAAATTAGTTTAATCAACATTGCTTCTAAACTTCTCGCTGGTATCATACTCCGTCGATTGTCTGCTGCACGTGAACGGTGGACACGTAAGAACCAGGCTGGTTTCGAACCTGGTCGAGGTTGTATCAACCACATCTTCACTATTCGCCAAATTCTAGAACATTAACACTCCTTTCGCAGTCCCATCATTTCTATTTTCCTTGATCTGAAAACGGTTTTGGACTCAGTCGACCGCTCTAAACTCTGGTGCTGCCTCGCTCTAAAGGATGTGCCCGAGAAGTTCATTTCAATCCTGAGATCCCTTTATGGTAACAGTCGAAGCCGAGCTTACGGCACTTTATCGCCTGAGTTCATTACAGAAAGTGGTGTTAGCCAGGCTACCATGTCTCTACTTACTTTGCCATAAATTTCATTCTTCAAACAGCCCCATCTTCGTGCAAGGATGGCGGCATCGACTTACTTCGAGGTGACAGATTGTCTGATCCAGAGTATCCAGACGACATTGTACTACTAAGTGAAGATCCAGGTAAGCTGCAAGCTCTTCTGGATAGTTTGAGTACTAGTGTAGACATGTTCGGTATGCGTTTTGCACCTTCAAGAAGTAAAATATTGCTACAAAAGTGGGTTGGTCCAACCCCCGACCTAGAGGTGATAAAAGAACCAGACAAGTTTTGTTATTTGGACAGTTATATCTCACCTGTCAGACGCGTCACAGATGAAGTGTAGGCAACCATACAGAGGGCTCGACTGGTATTTGCCAATATGAGACATTTGTGGTGCTGTCGTGACATCCGACTGTCTGTGAAGAGTCGAGTGTATGCTGCAGCGGTTCGGCCAGTCCTGCTCTAAGGTGCAGAGACTTGGCCTTTACGGGAACAGGATAAAATTAGATTATCGGTGTTCGAACACCGCTGAGTGTACGAGTCTAGTGGAGTAACCGGATGAGCAATGCTGAGGTCAGGCGTAGAGTTTAAGGTAATCGCGGTCGTCCATTGGAGCAAGTGGTCGACCTCCATAGATTGCGCTGGTTGAAGTATGTGCTGCGCATGTCACCAAATAGGTTGCCACGGCGAGTAGATTGCCGAGGATAAGAGGTCAAGGGCGGTCAAACTAAGACCTGGCACGAGGGTATGAAAATCCTAACCAGGAGACTGGGTAACATAGGTAGCCTTAGATACCCTGGATGGAGACCCCGAGATAATGGTAACTGTCGGTTTGAGACACTGAGTGATATGGCTAAGTATCATAAACAGTGACGCTTGTGCATCCACTCAATATTCCTCTATCTTCCCTTTGACTCTGCCCTCCGCATTCCAATCCTCATTCTGCTCTTTTATCCAAATGGGCGGCCAAAAGACAGAAACCAAAACCGGTACACGAAAATGCATGGTTGATGGCTGTGAAAAATTTGAAACGGAAAACAGGCCTCGTTTGCTACATGGTGTTCTATTCAAAGTTAATGATGATAGTAACCTAAACGGATGAGATTTTCATAAACTACGGGATCGTTTCAACGGCATCTTGCGCTTTGCATTACCATTCTGATTGATTCACACCCCGGGGATTTCACATGTGATCATCGATCTAAGCTTAGCAAGGTATATAACAGAAACGGACATCAGTTAAATAAACGGCGCCTGTAAAGATAATGAAAACAATCAAATTCAAACAAGTAGTGCCAATGCCATATAGAAAATCACACTTGTGATTCCCTAATTGACGGATTTTGACTCTAAGATGCGATCATAACCATTCGTCCAACAGAGAAACGTTTCCCTTTAGCCGCACTTCGTTTCACCCCTGAAGCAGCAATGCGTCCTGAGGTGCAGTCAATAAACAGTAGAAAAACCTCCCAAATCACAGTGTCCTACTTTTTTGTGGTTGAACAACGATTTGCAGGCAAAAGGGCACACCCGATGGTCGCATTAATAAATATAGAGACCGCACCACGGGCACAGAAATCTTGGATCCAGGGTGTTGAACTTGCAAGTTCAGATATTTTAGAGGGGCAATTTTTCGCGGAACGGATAATATGGCTTCGTGGAATTATACAAATATGAGGAGGGAGGTTTAATGAGGACCACTGATTTTAATTTATCCCTGAGTCGATAAACTCCGCGTGATAAATTTAAATATAGTTTCCAGCATTTTCGTAAGTTTAACTGAAAAAATCACTAGATGAATGACTGCCTTTGTATAAAACTAATTTAGAGAAGACGGACAGCCGCGGTACAGCTTAGTTTGACAATAGACCGTTCACGTGACGAGTAATCCAAACGCCATTTGTGGGGAGCACTGAATGTGGGCGTGTGGTAGGATAATAGTCTCTGAGTAGATATTTGTATTTACAGCCTGCCAACTATTTGTATTGCGCCACGGTGTGCTTGTCTTTTTCCGGTACAAATGGCAAATCTTTCTTATTGAAGACACGAATGTTACGCTCCTTTCGCCGGTGTTTGGCACGGATAATAGCATGTTCACGACTGGCCGCGAGAACCGATTTGGGTAGGTGACGTCGTTTGAGTATTTTTTTCACTTCCGGATGATCTTTGAATTTGTCACGCAATGCCTCGGCCGCATTAATCGACGCTTTTTCGCGAGGTTGAACCTGAATGAACAAGACATAAGGCATTCACTATACAGGTTAGGATGAAAACTTAAAAAAACGGATACAATGATTAGAAGGGGAACATAAGGATGAAGAAAACCAGGAAAAGTGCAGAACAATTTTATGCGAACGACTTGAGAGCAAATCCCTTTTCAAGTTCTGCAACACATTCAATCACGAATTCAGTTTATACAAAAATTAACTTAACACTTCGTGCAGTAGCTTTGGTTACCAATTTAGATGAACAAGTACATACCACGCCTAACCTAGTGGGGTCTTGTGTGGTTCGCCACTGTAAGTCCCGGGGCTTAGGTCACCGGTTTACATGACGAAGCAGCAAGTCTTCGTGTTTATGCAGTTCGCCCCGTCTGCTGTTGATCACACAAATGTGTGTAATTAAAAAAGTATCGATTATATAAACCAAAGTGGGATGAAGTGAACGGGTTTGTAAGTTGGATGTAAGCCGTCGAGTGTTTGGGAGTTTATCTGGGGTAAACCTGCCAGCTCATCCAATTCACATTAGTAGGCTTCCGTGGCTAGGGCACTTATTGCGTATGCCCAGCTGTCGTCTGCTTCTCAGCACTTTATTCGATGTAGCCGCTTCGAGTTAGAGAGAACCACGTGGAGGTCAGCCGAGAAGGTGGAGATGAGGCATGAAACAATGCACAGAGCTATTAGGCAGAGTGTGTCTCGCATCCTTCAGGTTGGGGTCCGAAAGACTCTGCAACTGGCTGGTGAGAGACATTGAAGTACATTACAACGAACCGACAGCAGTATTGTTCTTGTTGTCATTTCTTATCAGGCCAGAATGCTTGAAAAGGTATGCATACACAATTAGACTGTATACTCTCTGTTGACCATAGATTTTTACTTTCTTACCCTTCCACAAAATAGGTTCAACGCCTGTTCACCTTACAACCAACTTTGTATATATTGCGAATTTGGCAGTGATCAATGAAGTATTTCACTGCACGCTGATGATTACATAACAGTTCAGTTTGCACAACCTATATACTTTCGTGCGCCAGTTTTGATTGCTGTCTTTTGGCTGCCCAACTGGATTAGTTTCCGAAGCAAAGGGGTTATCATAAAGAAACTAGGCAAGGGATCTGGTGTGGTTCTACTTAGTAAACCAGGCTACAGGGAGGAGATGAGAACAATCCTGAACGATGAATCGAAATTCACAACAATGGCAAAACACCTCAAATAGAGAAGGCCCTTTCTACGACCTTGCGGAGGCTTAAACTAAAGGGCCCCCATAGACACCACTACGTTTGAACGGATTCGTCCAAAAGGCATGACGATTCCACGATTGTATGGGCCTCCCAAAGTATGTATAAGAGTGGAGGTCCCATCCGGACGTGTGCAACTCTTCTTATCAAATGGTGGTTAAATGGTTTTCTAGTCTTCTGGAACCGACGAGAATGACGATGACTCAGCATAGAGATAGGGATACATTAGGTCTCACTGACCAGTCGACGAACATTTGAGCATTTGACAGGAAACCATCCTATCAGTAAGAAAACGACCTATTCGTAGCTTGTTGGCAGTGATCTATGGACTTTATAAAATTTAATAATAATAATAAAAATTAAATGCTTCTGAGAGGTGTTCTAGC